AAGCAGTAATGCCCATTTACCCAGCCAAAGGCAACTCAACTCCTGACTGCTAACGAAGTAGTTGTTCTCACTCTAGTGATAACACTAAGGCTTGAGGTGAAAGAGACTGCACCAAAAATGCACGAGAATGCATCGATATAACAGAGTGCACCAAAAGCTGGGGGAAAGGGAGGGAGGTGTGCTATGAGATGGTATCAGATTTTTATTTGCCTTTCATGTCAAGTGGATTGGCCCGTGAGTTTCTGGGGAGCTCCCAAATAAAAATAAATCGTCCTCCTCAGGAGTTACCTGTGAATCAAGCAAAGATTCTTTGGAAGACACAAGGCAAAGACCCTCACCACTATCTAGCCCACAGACAGCTTTTGTTGCACCTGCAGTGTTAGTGCTTAAACTGTTATGTTTAAATTAGTTATCAGCAATTAAAAATGGGGAGTTTGAGGTACACTGTTGGATTCATGACCCCTCCTCTGTTCATGCCCCCTATTTGCAGGCATGTGGGTTAACTCTACACTGACTCCGGGCGTGGCCACACGGCTCGCTCTGGCCAATGTGACGATAACAAACATGACCGAGGCGGGGACTTCAAAAGCACTGGGGCTTGTCGGCCTCCGGCTCTCATAACTATGAAAAGGCCCACCCAGGGCCAACCCGCTGAATGATGAGACACATACCGCAAACACACACACAGAGCCAACCACTAGCAAAGTGAGCAGATCACCTCAGACATGAGTGAGCCCATCCCTGCCCAGCCCACTGCCACTCTGCAACATGGTGAGCTAAACAGTGTTAAGCCAAAGTTTGGGGTGTTTTTTGTGCAGCAAAAACAGACAGAGTCCACATTAAAGTAAATATTCCTAATTTAAAAACAAAAATCTGAAGACTGCAACACTGGGCCCAAATTCCTACATGGCAACAATTAGTTGACCTGGGCAGTGGCTCCACCTTTACCTAAGCCACAGCATGAATTTCCCAGTTTGTCACTATTATCTTACCCATGTTGAGGTCAAGCTGTGTAGTCTCGGTTAGGTGTTGTTATATTACGTCAAAGACGAACATGAAATACGATGGTCCACATACTTGAGTTACCTTCACGAATGAGAAAACCAGCACAATCACTCTGGAGAACTGTTGGTCAATATCTACTAACGCTGAACATACGCATCCTTCGTGACCCAGGAGTTCCACAACCAGGGGTAAACCCAAGAAAAAGAGTATACATCCCAAAAGATGTAGAAAATGTTCCCAGCAGCACTATTCCTGAGAGTCTCAAACTGGCCACTAACAAACTAGTTATCATCAACAGTGGAATAAAGTGTGGCGTATCCATAGGGATAAATCTCATACACGATGCTGTGCATGAGAACCCGGACACAAGAGCGTACGTGCTGCATGATTCTACTTCTAGTTCAAAAACAGACAAAACTAAAAGCAGGTGTTAGGAGTCGCGTGGTGGTGACCCTTGGGTACACGCCTCGTTGTGCAAGAGCACAGATGGGGTTCTGACAAGCTGGTAATACTGTTCTGTAACCTGGGTGCTGTTTGCATGGATATATACTCTTGGAAATTCACCAAGCTGTACATTTATGATCCGTACACGTCGATAAAGGGTTTGATTTAAAAAAAAAAAAAAAAACTTTAAAAAGTGGAACAAGAAGACCAAAAGGATGACCACACTTCAAGAAAAATGATTAAGTATTTTCCTTGAGGGATATCAGAAAGACAAACTCTACAGTACAATATGTAATGTGATAAAAAGAATGACCGCCATTATGAAACAAATCATCAGACATATGGCTGGAATCTGGGAAAGATGCCTAACAAACCACCATCTGATGAATGAGGGGGAAAGGGCCCAATCAGCAACACCTAGACCACTTTATTCATCTGTATTACCTACCAGTCGGATCTCTGTGGGCTTTGAGGCTTACGACCAATGAATTACAAATCAAAGCCTTTTCTATAAAGGTTACCATCATTTCTCAGACTTAAAATATTGGGTTTACTGCCCCTTTAAAAAAATCAATTACCATATCACATGATCTCACTCATTTGTGGAAATTAATGAACATAAACTGATGAACAAAAATAGAACCAGAGACATAGAAGCATCGAACAGACTGTACAACCTATGAGGGAAGGCGGGGGGTGAGGGGGTAAGAGATCAACCAAAGGTCTTGTATGCATGCATATGAGCAAAATGAATGGACACGGGCAGTAGGGGGGTGAGGGCTTGTGTTTGGCGGAGGGGGTGGCAGGGGAGGTCAATGGGGGGGAAAAGGAGACTCATGTAATACTTTAAACAATAAAGAATTTTTAAAAAATCAATTACCTTACTCATGCTCATCTGCCAAATGGGGCTAACAATGGCCACTGGAGAGGGTTATTGGGAGAACTGAAGAAGATAATGAGGTCTCTATACCTTTGAGACAGTACCAAGGAGACAGCATCTAAGCACCAACAACGAATTATTACTTTATTTATAGCAGTGTTACTGATGATTGCAAAATACTGAAAATAAAATTAGAGGTACCCCAAAGGCTGGCTGCTGCTCACCATAGTGCACTACACTGTAGAGGCTGGCAGGACCTACTGTGGTGGTTCTGAAGGGAGCAGAGGTCACACACTGGCTCCAGGGCAGGCCTTCACCAACTACCTATGAAACTTAGCTTCTGATGTGCCCCTTGCATCCTCCAGTAGGCAAGCCCCTCCCATTTCTAGAATACTTCAGTTAGGACTCCACTGTTTTTGGTATCAATGCCTACCCCTCACTAGTGTTAGGGCCGAAAAGCCTCGAGAATCCAGACCTCAAACCAAAGGAAGTTGTATGGCAGACAATCTCTCAAAGCTTGCCTGATCATTCCAACAGCCGATTTCTGGGCCCCTTCTCTGGACACTGAGAGGCAGCAGGTCTGGAGAGGGGCCAGATTTTATTTTTTTAATCTTTATTGTTGAAAGTATTACATATGTCCCTTTTCCCCCCATTGACCCTTTCTAGCCCACTGCCGCCCCCATCCCAGGCCTTCACCACCATATTATCTGCGTGCATGGGTTATGCATACAGGCATACAGGTTCTTTGGTTGATCTCTTCCCACCCCCACCTTCCCTCTGAGAATGGACAGTCTGCAGAACCCAGACTCTAGTAAAGCCGAAGGTGATTCTTGTACCAAGTCAAGTTTGGGAAACTCCCACCTGGTGAAATGCAGAGCCCAACAGACCTGCACCTGACTGCAATCCCTAGAATTTACCAGCTGGGTATGCCTGGGCCAAGTGCAGGAAAACCTCTTGAGTTCCTGTCATTTTAAAAGACTAACTCTGCCTACCACCCAGGATTGTGCAGCCTGAAGACACTGTCACATTCAGCCGGGAGGACAAAGTGTGCCTTGGTCCCAGTAATCCGCTTTCCAGTTTATTTCTTTTTTTTTTTTTAGCTTTTCAAATGCATTTTTTTTTTTATTGCTTAAAATATTACAAAGGGTATTACATATGTGTCCATTTTATCCCCCCGCCCTAGACAGTCCCCTAGCCTCCCCTATCCAGTTTATTTCTGCTTCCATGGGCTGCTCTTGCCTCAGCCTACAAATCTATGTACAGCGGGGCCTTGACTTACGAGTTTAATTCGTTCCGTGATGGAGCTCATAACTCAAATTACTCGTATGTCAAATCAAAAGTGAACGAGTGAGACACGTGATGCTGGGCTGATGTTGTGGCGTTCACTGTGACGTTCGCTGCGCCAACTAGCGGTGGGGTATCTGAAGCTGGCTCGTAACCCGAATTTTAGCTCGCAACTCAAAGCAAAAAATCAGACGAGAGACGGCTCATATCTTGAAAAACTCGTTAGTTGGGACACTCGTAAGTCAAGGCCCCACTGTACTTCCATGGAGAGAACTGCTGCACAGACCTGGACTGACCTGAGCACCTTATCAGGGGCTAAACCACTTTCCCAAGGCACTGATTTTCTTTCTGTAACTGTCAGACTTCAGTGACGACCCATTTTCTACAGGAGCAGGTATGATGCCAGCATGCATTTCCATATGTGCCAGGACTGTCGCATTAAATGAGAAGGTTAATAACATACACAAAGAAGGTTATTTCTAGCCTTAGCGATAAAGCAGAGCACAGGACCAGACACCTGGTGAAAACTCACAGCTACTAACAGTATTTGAATATAACTACATAACACGTTAAACATTAAGCCATCATTCATCAAATCCACTTGCCAATAACAGGACCACTGCCAATGGGAAGCTGCAGAGCCTTTCTTTAAAAGAAGCATTAAAAACCTGCTGCCTTGTTCCCTTAACCGTGGATATGTTTCAGGTGATCCTGTTTATCCCAACTCTGTGAAGGGGGCTTTTTTTTTGGGGGGGGGGAGGAGAAGGGGATGTAAGGATCCCCATCTTCCTCCAGTTTCACAGACAGATCCATGCCCAACAAAATGATAAAAGCCTCCGTACTAACGAGAGTCCCCGCAGGATTCTTCCTTTCTCCTGCTTTCATTACTGTCCAAGTAATACATGTGCAGTTAGAAAAGCTTGAACAGTGCAAGCAGCATGTAGAGACCAGTCAACACCCCCGCCTATCCCTGTCCTGGTCCTCTTCCCTACAGGCGGCCTTGTTAAAAGTTTAGGGATCCCTCTAAAGCAGGGTGTCTCGGTCTTAGCTTTACTGACACTTTGGGCCAGATACTGTGGGGCGGGAGGGCTGTTCTGTGCGGTGTAGGATGCTCCAGAGCATCCCTGGCCTCTGCCCGCAGCAACGCCCCTCCATACTCCCGTCTGGCATCCAAAACTGTCCGCAAACACGGCCAAATGGGGGACCAAGTCGCCCCAGTTGGGAGCCAGTGCTTCCGGAGACACTCTATGCACGCACGGAGGCGTGTGCCACCTTACTCGTTTTTCTCCCCACACTGGGGACACACGGAGTTACTTTCCAACACTCTGGGGGGTTGCACCGGGGGTGGGGCCGGGGCTGGCCTCGCCAGGAGGCGGCGGCCACTCACCAGGTCTCGGATGAGCTGGTCCACCAGCTGCTCCGCGCCTCCGGCCGCGTCACGGGCTGGGGGGGAGCGGGAACGGCTCGCCGCGTCCTGCCTCTCGGCCCTGGTCGCCCGCGCCGCCGGGGGCCGGCTCGCGCCCTCCAGCAACCCCTGCGCCAGCGCCAGGTACCCCGAGGCCTGCTCGCCGCGCCCGGGGGCCACCTCGGGCCGCCGCGGCCGCCGCTCGGCAGCCTCGGGCCGCCGCCGCTTCCTCAGCGCCTGGGCCTGCGCCAGCTCCTCCTGCCAGCGCCGGCGGAACTCGTCCAGGCCGTGGTTGTCCATGGCCCGCGCCGCCGGCCTTCCGTGTCGTCCTCCGCCGTGCCGGGTGCCACGGGACAGTCCCTCCGCCGGAAGTGTCCGCCGCGGCCGGAAACCGCAGCCGGCTGCACTCGGGTTCCGGGTGGGCGACCCCGCCCCCGCCGCGCCCCTCACGCCGTCACCTGCATCAGGGGCTTGTGGCGCCCCAGGCCGAGGTCAGTGACTTGAACCTGATGCTTGTCGACTTTCCCGCTTGTGGCTTCCGCCAAGCGCAGACTTTGCGTCAAGCACTGTTTCTTCATTCGGACATCCAACGGGCAGCTATTATATGCCAGGCGCTAAGAATTCAGCATTTAAATCTGCTCCTCCAACCCTTACCCCCCCAAAAATCCCTCCCATCTTGGGGTTTGCATTCAAGGGGGTGGGAATCACATTTAATTCATCCAACTAGTGAATATGAATGCTGGAGTTAGTAGTAAGTGGTACAAAAAATAAATAAATAAAACAAGGTAATAAAATAAGGCCAGGCGTGTGGATGGAGGGATTAACTTTAGAAGAGTGGTTCTCAAGCTACACATTAGAATCACCTGGGAATCTTTTTAAAATCCTGATTTCTGGGGGAATGAGGCCCAGAAATCAGGATTTTAAAAGGATTGCCAGGTGATTCTAATGTGCAGCCAAGGTTGAGAACCACTGCTTTAAAAGGATGTCAGTCATCACAGGACCTTCTCAGATCTCTCTCTCCAAATCTCCCTCTGCCTCCATCCTGTAAGGCCGCTTGTGACTTGGGCCCACCTGGATAATCCACGGTACTTGCAGCATGTCTTGGGCCTTCATTCAGTCACACCTGCAAAGGCTTGTTGATCATTTAAGGTAGCCTCCACAGGTTCCAGGGATTAAGACCTGGCTGTCTTTGTAAGCCATTAATCAGCCTACTGCAGAGAGCCTACAGTGAGCACGGACCCAAATGCCTCCAGGGGACTCCAGGACACAAAAATGAGGCAAGTGGGCCAGGTCTGGATGGTGGCTCCTGGCTGCCCATCTGGAGCGGGAAACCGATACTCAGCTCCACCCAACTCTTGGATCTTAGTCCAGATCTTCTAAAATTCAGTATCATTATTTTTATTATTAGCAACAAATTCCACTTTTTAAAAGAAAAGCGTTTTTATTAAAAGCATAAGTTGGGCCCTGGGTGGTGGGTTCAGTGGTTAGAGCACCAGCCTGCTCACCAAATGGTCACAGGTTCTATTCCCAGCCAAGGGCACATACCTGGGTTGCAGGTTGATCCTGGATCCCCGGCCATGGTGGGGATGCACGGGGGGAGGCAACCAATCCATGTATCTCTCTTGACATTGATAACATCGATGTTTTTCTCTCTCTGCCCCCCTCCCCTTTCCACACTCTAAAAAAAATCAATGGAAAAAATCCTCGGATGAGGATTAACAACAACAAAAAAGCCTAAGTTGCATTCAATAGCCTTCAAACCCAATAGGAGTCCTTTCTTGAACAACCCATGAGTTAGGACAAAACCGCCTTCAACTTACATTAAGATACCCCCTTAGCAGGCGGCTGATCGATGTTTCTCTCTCATCAATGTTTCTAACTCTCTATCCCTCTCTCTTCCTCTCTGTAAAAAATCAATACAATATATTTTAAAAAAAAGATACCCCCTTAGCTCTTGTGAGCAGAACTGGAGAATCACACGTCATTGGGGATCACTAATGTGTGGCGAACACCAGCGCAGGAGAATAATGTGAGTTAAATCATTTTAAATCACGTTTAATGATTTCAGGAACTGCCATCCTGTTTGTGCAACGGGGCTGTGCCACTTGACCTGTGAGGTGTCAGCGTGTGTTTTACACCTTCCCGTTCAAACCAATCTGTGGTCTTAAGAAGCTCAGCCCTTTTCCATTTCAGGGCCTTTGCACACACTTCCCTCTTCCTAGAACACTTTTCCTGAATGATTCCCCAATGCTGCTGCCCCCCTCACCCTTCAGCTCCCAGCTGAAATGTAACCTCCACAGACCAGCCGTGTTCATCCTGTGTTCTCAAGCCCCTAGCACAGAGCCTGGTTGCTAGGATGTGCTCAATAATTGTTGGTTGAATGAATGAACAACTTAATCCCCAAATGATGAAGCTAAGATAGGGGAGAGGTATTTCTGAGTTTGTGTCCACACATAATAGATGCTCAATAAATATGTGTTGCTGATGAGGCTGCCAGTAATAAGGAGAGGCAGAAACACACACACACACACACACGTAGCAGAGAGAAAGATGAATCCACCCCTTTAAGAAAGAAATGAGGGATGTCATTGTAGGTCTCATAAATCAACATAAGTGCCCATGCAGGAGATAGAGAGAGTTGCTTGGTCTTTTCCACTTCGCAATCTGCAAAGTGTCTCCTCTTCTTTCTGTTTCAATAGAAAAATCACTCTGAGCACTTTGGTGGCCTGAGCGCTTTGGAACTCTAATTACAGGTGACACACAAATGGAAAGAAAAATAGGAAATCAAACGTTGGAGCCAATAAGTTGCCATTTATATGGGCATTTAATAGCAGCAAAGTGCCCTAAGCCACGCAGAATTACCTCAAGCACTTTGCAGACGGACATCACAGGAGCCGTTGTGAGGATGAAGTCACGATGCCTGTAACGCGCCCGAGTTCTTTGGGGATGGGTCAGTGTTGTGACTCTCAATGTCTGTTTTCACTAGATATCTTCAAGGTCAATGCCATGTAAGACCTGATGTCTGTCCCTAGCCCACCTCGATAGCCTGATCTCTCAACACTTTCCCTCCTCACCTCTAAGCTCTAATCATCTCTCATGCTCTCCCTTGAATCTATATCATTCCTTCTCACCTGTACCTGCGGAACTCCTGCTTGGTTACATTTAGAGGTCACCTCCTTCAAGAAGCCTTCCCTGCCTTCCTCCTTCTCCAGACTGGGTTAAGATCTTTAAGTTGACTTCCGGTTCCCCATGTAGGCGGCTTGGAAGTCTCCACTCCATCCTAACATATAAAAAGCTGGACACACTGAAAAATCAACAACTCTTCTGGAACCTGTAAGAGTTGAGGAAACTGGGCAAACTACTGCTGTCAAGATGGGAGGAACAGACAGGTGAACATAGTCAGTCCTGGCTCACTGGAGCGGAAACCCATCAGCGGAAACCACCGAAGGAACCAGCGCCCCTTGTTATCAATTGTTCAAAATAATAGTGACAATGTATTCCATTGTATGCTTATGTATATCTACCTTATGTGTATGTGTGTGTTGGAAGGGAGGCACTAGGATTATTTTATTATTATAAGGTACTCACACTACCAGTGAAGTTGTATGCTGTTATTTGAAAGTGGACTTGGATTAGTTGTATATGTATATTGGAAACTCTAAGGCAACCACTAAAAAAAAGTCTAAAAAGACGTATAACTGGTATACTAAAAAAGGAGATAAAACGGAAACATAATCAATTAGAACCGCAAAAGGCAGAAAAAGAGTGGCAGACAAGAAATAGGAACAAAGAACAAAGGCAACAAATAGAAAATAACATAGACCATAGATATTGATCCAACTCTATCAATAATCACTTTCAACATCAATGGTCTAAATGCACCAAATTAAAAGACAGGGATTGTCAGAGTGGATCAAAAAATAAGACCCAAATATATGTTGTCCACTTTAAATATAAAGACACATATAGCCCTAACCGGTTTGGCTCAGTGGATAGAGCGTCGACCTGCGGACTCAAGGGTCCCAGGTTCGATTCCGGTCAAGGGCATGTATCTTGATTGCGGGCACATCCCCAGTGGGGAGTGTGCAGGAGGCAGCTGATCGATGTTTCTCTCTCATCGATGTTTCTGGCTCTCTATCCCTCTCCGTTCCTCTCTTTAAAAAAACAACAAACAATAAAATATATATTTAAAAAAAAGAATTCCCATTTTCAAGATGAGTTCTACCCTTCGTTGGAGGAATATGGTTACTTAAAAAAAAAAAAAAAGACACATATAGACTAAAAGTAAATGGATGAAGAAAATATATAAATACCTTGCTAACACACTGGCCAAGGCAAGATTACGTTTTAAAATATATATCTATCTCTGAATCTAATTCATGCCCTGCAATTCTTTACGGTATCCAGTAATTTTCAACCAGTGTGCTGCAAGAATTTTTAAAATATGCACACCTGACTATTTAGTCCAAGGCACTGACCTCTTTTCCCTTAGGTTGTCAAGTTAAAAAATGACAACAGCCAACATAACAATAGCTATCTTTTTAAAAATATATATTTTATTGATTTTTTACAGAGAGGAAGGGAGATAGATAGAGAGAAACATCGATGAGAGAGAAACATCGATCAGCTGCCTCCTGCACATCTCCTACTGGGGATGTGCCCGCAACCCAGGTACATGCCCTTGACCGGAATCGAACCTGGGACCTTTCAGTCTGCAGGCCGACGCTCTATCCACTGAGCCAAACTGGTTTCGGCTAACAATAGCTATCTTATATAAATGCTCTGTCTTGAACCATACATATGTAAGTCATATAATAGAGTTTCATCTTATTGGTCACATTGCATCATAAGGTTACGTCTGATTGGTTAATTCTTTTTTTTTTTAATCCTCACTCAAAGATTTTTTTTTTTAACTTTGAGAGAGAATGGGGAAGGGAGAGAGAGAGGGAGACAAACATCGATCAGTTGCCTCCCATACGCGCCCAACCGGATCGAATCTAAAACCTTGGTATGTGTCCTGACCAGGAGTTGAACCTGAAACCTTTTTGGTGCATGAGACAACACTCCAATGGACTGAGCCACCTGGCCAGGGCTAATTGGTTAATTCTTGGCACCAGACATCCTTACATATAAGTATAGGCACCTGATTTTTTAAAAGTCACTTTGGAGCAAAAAGGGTAGGTAATTATTCTATTTTTGTAAATGTAGGAAAATTATACCTTTTTATCAGATTGGTAAAAAAGTATTTTTGATGTGCTGCAGAATTTTAATGATTAGTTTATGTGTGCCACGAGATGGAAAGGGTTGAAAATCACTGCAGTATTCCATAGTACAAATATACCACATTCTGTTTATGCACTCTGCTCTTGAGA